AGGCCACGTTCGCGGTCACCCCAATCACCAGGCGGATTCGAGAGCTTGCTGCAAACTGCACGAGGCTTTATTGTAATTTAACGAGCTAACCCCATGTTAGCTCGGGTCTTTCACCCACCCGCCATGGCGGACAGCTAGAAAAGACAGCTTGAAGCCGCTGCGCACAGATCTTTATAGGGCAGCGTAAGGGGAGTGTCTAGGGGTACGCACAGGCTCACGATTGGTGTGCCTCCAGGCTTTGCGGGCTTGCCCTGTGTTGATTGGTCAACTGGTTGTTATGGCCCATAGGCCCTCCCAGGGTGGTTGCTATGCTCTCTACATAATTGCTGTGAACTTGTCCATAAAGCACACCCAGGGTCGTAAAGCATAGCGCCACCAGCTAACTTCTGATTAGTTCCTTGTCACGAGACAGGCATCTGACCTCTAAGTGACCAAGGCAGGTTTATGGCAAGCACGTGTTCAGCTGTTATGGCTGCCGAAAGGGAAGCTGGTCCCTTCATTAGTACTTGGGAGGCAGAGGTAGATGGGTCTCTGTGAATTCCAGGCCAGCCTGTTCTACGGATCAAGTTCCAGGACAGGCTCCAAGTCTACATAGAGAAACCCTGTTTGCAAAACAAAACAAAACAAAACAAACAAAATAAACAACAAAAAAACCTAAAAAGAGAGATATTAAACTAATTAGGCTGACTGGCTATTCAATTCGGTGTGAACCACTGAGCAAAAGTCATATTTGACCTTCTTTGATTTGATGGCTAGATGCTTTTTTGGTTGCTTGCTTTTGTTTTGTTTTGTTTTGAGACAGGGTCTGGCTTCATTGCCCTGGCTGGCCTAGAACTTGCTATGTAGAGCAGGCTTGCCTCAAACTCACAGGGGTCTACCTGCCTCTGCCTCCTAAGTGCTGGAATTAAAGGCATGCACCACCAGGCCCAGCATCAAATTACCTATTTCTAAAAGTAAAAAGGTGGCACGCCACAAACTTAGCAATGCAGACTGGGACCATATGAGCACAGAGACATAGTAATTTCATTAAGAAAACTGGGGTCAAGGAGTAATTAAACACACCAGACCAAGGAAAGAGTGCAATAGTCTCTTCTGGACTCCACAAAAAAGAAGACAACTAACATTGAGATGGCAACAGCCCTACCATTCAGCATTGAGGAACCAAGAGAACTCCTAAGTATTCCAGGGGTTCAGCTCTACTCCCCGAGCTCTCTGTGCTGATGGAACCTACTTGAAGTGCCTTCTGTTTATCCTCCTAGCCATTTGTCTGGATGTGGTCTTGCACCTTGCTTCTGTAGCTTGATTGACCCCAAGACTCAGTTCAAACCTGTGACTATGGGGCTTGTCTCTGTAGTGTGTTTCCAGCCAACTTCCAATGGGAGTTCACTATGTAACTCTGCCCCTCTGCAGAGACCTTCTTCACAGCCCTATCAGCTTCCTGCTCCTGTTTCTCAGGGAGATTCACCAGAACTCCCCAAAATCTACTGCAGCTTTTAATCCCTTAGAATGTGGTCATTCTCTACAGTAATAGATACTAATAATATATGTGAAGTGTAATGCATGACCCAGAATTAATATTGGTAATAAAGATTGGAATTTAAAGGCTGGTTTGCTGCTGAGTGGTGGCGGTGCACACCTTTCTTTCCAGCACTCATGAGGCAGAAACAGGTGAATATGATTTCGAGGCCAGCCCTGTCTACAAAGTAAGTTCCAGGACAGCCAGGGCTACACAAAGAAACTGTGTCTCGGAAAAAACAACCAACCAAACAACCAAACAAACAAAAAGGCTGTTTTGCTGGCAGCCAGCTGTCAAGAACCAAGCATGGTGGTGTGTGTTTTCAGTCTTCAAACTTGGGAAGCAGAGATAGGTGGATCTCTGTGAGTTTGAGACCAGCCTGGTCTACTTAAATAATTCCAGGCTAGCTAAGATTATAGAGTGAGAACCATGTCTAGAGGGAGGAAGAGAGAGAGAAGAGAGGGAGAGATAGACACACAGAGACAGAGAGAGCTACACACCACACACTACATACACAGAGAGAGAGGGGGGGAGAGGGAGAGAGAGAGAGAGAGAGAGAGAGGGAGAGAGAGAG